TGCTGGGCCTCGTTCGGTTGGGCGCCCAACTGTCTCTGTATGAGGCTGCGAATCACGCCCAGGACCTGCATTCTTTGGAAAGGCCCAGTAGGCCGTGGAAATGTCTTCGGTACTCGGCCTGTGTTTCTTTCAACCAACTGGCGCGTCGCAACTGCCTGGACCCCAAATATGAAATTGACAGTCGAGGGCCTCTTGCAAAAGCCAGGCCCGCCTTCACTTAGGGCGGGCACCTCCGCCTTCACTTAGGGCGGGTAAGGCTGCAGACAGGGCCCAGTAGGCCTACCGAGGACACTGATCCTCGCAACTATTTCAAAGAAGGGAAAATAAAAAAGCACAAAAAATTAAAAATCTCCCAACACACAAAATGAGCCCATTCGTTCTCGTTGTAACCCCCTCGCTCCACCCCACCCCACCTCACTGAACAGGCCACACACTAGAATACCGTACTCCGTATCTGAGCTAAGGCTCTGTAGCAGACCGGGGCCTGAAAGGTGTGCCAGCCATAGATTCCTGATTCTGCCGTCTTCCCCCCAAATACAGCACAGCCTGATTGCGAATGCATACAAGCTATAAATCTGGTCCAATGCATTCATACTAAGGGAGCATCATGCTCGGGGAAGACGGTAGCGAGGAGCCTTAGAAGAAGGGGTCCAATGCAGTCATACTGTCATACTGAGGGAGCATCATGTTCGGGGGAAGACGGTAGCAAGGACCACTAGAAGAAGGGTTTTTTTTGTGGAGGATTCCCAGCCCCCTTCTGCCTTTTATACTGAAATCTGCTTTCACTGCCTTTCATGCAAAAAAAAAAAAACAAAAAAAAAAACAAGAAGAAGAAGGGGGTGTAACTGCGCCACAACTCAGATACCTTTTCAGATGATATACACTCGCGGTGCAGCAGGCTACAGACAGCAGGATGCAGATATTAAGAGAGAGATGCGAGCAATGTGCTTCGAAGTCACGCAAAAAAAACATTTCGTGCACAGAAAAGTCAATATGTATGGGAGACGGCATTTGAGAGTCACGTAAGCAAGCAATCCATTAATGAATTCACTCTGCAACCAGTTGAGAACTCTCTCTCTCTCTCTCTCTCTCTCTCTCTCTCTCTCTCTCTCTCTCTCTCTCTCTCTCTCTCTCTCTCTCTCTCACGAGGGCAGGGGCGAAGTTGGGGCCTGGGGTGGCAGGACAACTGGAGGAGGAAGAGGAAGATGTTACATGCTGCGCCCGCAACAGGCTGCACCGGCCATTTTCAGGCCCGTGTCATTTTCAGCCTGAAAGCCTGAAAACAAGGGCCTACAGACCCCCCGTGTTGTTTTCAGGCCAAAAGCCTGAAAACACGGGCCTACAGGCCCCGTGTCAGTTTCAGCCTGAAAGCCTGAAAACAAGGGCCTACAGGCCCCGTGTGAGTTTCAGCCTGAAAGCCTGAGGGCCTACAGGCCCCGTGTCAGTTTCAGCCTGAAAGCCTGAAAACAAGGGCCTACAGGCCCCGTGTCGTGTCAGCCTGAAAGCCTGACAACGAGGGCCTACAGGCCCTGTGTCGTTTCAGGCTAAATCAGGGCCTTTCCGACCCTGAGTATTTTCAGCCTGAAACTGAGGGCCATTTTCAGGCCCTCATCAGTTCGACCTGCCCTGAAACTCAGGCACCAGACCAGGGTTTTAGCTCAGGCCATTTTTGGTTGGTTGGTTGGGTGCAAGTGAAACTCTCACAGACATTTTTGGCCTATTTTCAATACAACCTTTGTTTGAGCTTCAACCCCAGGGTCTGGCACGTGCAGCCTCCTGGACGGGCCAGCACTACATGAGACTGGCCCGCCCTGCAGGCTGCAGGTAGTTGGGAGGTAACTCTTAGGTACTTCCCAGGCACCTCACGTGCAGGCAGGAGGCAGTCAGTAGTCTTCAGGATTCGGCAGCAGCACTCTGGAGGAGCGCTGCAGGAGTAGTGGTAGCGTTAGCAGTAGTCTTCAGCGCTGGGCGCTAGTAGCGTTAGGTGTAGTCTTCAGCGTTGGGCGCCATAGCTAGAGTAGTACTAGAGAGA